ATACCTTTGAAAAAAAATCATACACTCATAAAAATATAGCATTTCATTCATACTTCACCACTTATTCAAGTCATCAACATAGTTCGCTAATATTATAATTCAAAGTTTACAACCATAGTTCACTAATTCAAATTTCAAACCCCAAAGAGACTTTTAATCCAAATTTCTAACATCCATTTTGAACTCAATCCATAAAATTAATCAAGATTCATAAAATTTTATACAAAAAAAAAATTAGTGTTTTATTTAGACAAAACGACGTTGTTTCAGGGAAAAAAAAAATAGGTTTTGCGTCTATTGGTCGTATCGTAAAAATATATCGTGTATCGGACGATACGGTGCAAAAACAATACATAATTACGATCCGTATCGTTTTACCTCTGTATCGTACGGTACTAACAACTACGGTAGCAATGGGCCTTTTATGCTGATCTCCAAGCATTTGTTTTTGGTTATTTTACTTTGGACTGTTTTGTTGGTGAATTTGTTTTAAAATAAATAAAAAAATATGAGATAAAAAATATATCTTAAATAATTTTGTGCAAAAATGATAATTTAAATTTTAATTATTAAACGTATAAAAATAGTGGTAAAAATATTATTACTATACTAACATATCATTTTGTCTATATTTTTGTCTTATTATTTTTTTTATCAGTCTTAGCATTATTCATTTTTTTTAAATAATGGTATTTGGACCTAATTTAGTAACTTAATTTGTTGATTTAATCGTTTGTAACTATTAAATTAATAGTAGGTTATAGTATTTATTAGGACCAGTAAAATTTAATAGTTGTAATGAATTACTTTAACAAGTTAAAATAGCATTATTATTTTTTTAATACAAGAGAAGCGATGCAAAATTAACGGTGCTGATCTCTTGGAGAGATTCAACAAACAGTCTCCAAGACGGAATTCACTTGAATAGAATAACTGATAATGGTGGAATTTTGCTATGGGCCGTCCATCCCAAAAGCCCAATATGTTCAATTGGTCTCTGCGTGCATGGCAACCCAAACAACTCACCCACAACCCGCCTACTCTAAGATTAAGATGGACTGTGCCCCAAAAGGAGGAAGCCCAACAGTGCCTAAATACTTGAGACTTAACCCAACCCCGATCCAACCTGACAAGAAATCAGCTCGGGAATGACTTGTTGGTCTTGAACCATTCCCGTCACACAACGTGGCTGGAGGGACAAGGAAACATCCTCTGCCACCCTTAACGAATATGCACATTTTATCAAAAGAAATATTTGTTTACATAATCGCTCAAGGATCGTGGATACAGTTGCGTTGCATGAAAGATGTGATTAATGGACAAAAGAAGAGAGGATCACATAATCAACAAAAAAAATTAAAAGGAAATAACAAGAAACCCTAGAAGACATTATCATACTACAAAAGGGGACCGACAATTTCTTCATTGAGATACTGACATTCATAAAACATTGTATGAACCGGTCGTAAGCCTAAAAATCCATTGTAATCTTCTTTTTCAAGAAACATAATGTCAGTTCATATATTTACACTACCCCTCTCTAGACCATCAAGTTATTGTTTTGGACTTGGTCTAAGCCTTTCTGAGCACCATCAATATCAAACACCCAAGATTAGTGTTATTTACTCCGAGATAAGATTGAATTCACTTGAACCAAGTTTGGGGTTCAAAAATTTGGGATATTTCTAATTAATCGAATTTCTACGATTTCTTTAAAAAATAGAGTTTTGACCTTTTTTTTTTGTTTCTATTATTTTTAGTGATATAAATATTAATCTTCTATTAGTTTTAATTGTTAGTGTGGTTTAAGGATAAAATGGGTGTTTCACAAAAATATTGGCTGAGGTCAACAGATTTGTTAGTATTTTTTATGTAATATTTTTTAAATTTAAAAAATTGATCTAATTTGTTAAACTAATAATATATCGATTGTAGACGAACAATATTATCCTTTTAAAAAAATTGCGGTTAAAATAATGCTATTGCATAATGTCATATAAGTTTAAATTCTTATAGCATTGCTAATCTTTTTAACTGTAGACTACCCCTAAAAAGTATCAAGAAAAAAAAAAAAAAGGAAAGGGTAGAGAGTAATTTCTTAAACAAAGACCAATTTTTCATAAATATAAAAAACTAGAGGACGTTATTGTAATTTTAGCAGGAGGAATGGCGATTTTGATATGTCGGACTTGCCACTGGTAATCCTTGTTTAGATTTTTTCTTCCATATAGTCCCCAAAACACCATCCGAAGATCTCACTGAACGCCTTCTATTCTCATGGAAGCACAACCAATTAACAACCCTGAAGCTTATATGCAATCTTAGAGGTGTTCGAGGTATCGGAAAGTCTGATAAAAAAAATTTCTACACAGCTGCACTTTGGCTTCACAAGCACCATCCCAAAACCCTAGTCTGCAATCTTGACATTTTTGCAGATTTTGGGTACTTCAAGGATTTGCCTAAAATTCTTTATAGAATTCTTAAAGGCCCTGATGTTTGGGCCGCTGCGAAGAGAGAATGGCACAGTAAAAAGAACGGTAAATGAAGTAGAGGATTGTGTTTTCTTCGGAAGAAGAGAGTTCATGAAATGAAGTCAAGAAAAAGACATAAAAAAGAGGTGGAGAGGAAGAGGAATTTGAGGGCTAGAGTGCCGAGAGACAAAAGGGTGGAGGCGAATTTGGAGAAAGTGAAAGAAGAGAGAGAGAAAACAAGGGACTTGAGGAAGAAAACAGAGGTTGCCAAGGCCAAAAAGGCCTTCAAAAGGTACACTCGTGACCCAGATTATAGATTCTTGCATGATCAGATTTCAACCATTTTTGCCAATCGTCTAAAATCTGATATTCAATGTTTGAATTCCAGTGAGTTCAAGAATATTAGTCTAGCCGCAAAATGGTGCCCTTCTATTGATTCTTCCTTTGATAAGATCTGCGAAAACATTGCTAGAAGATTATTTTCCCTTGAGGACTATATAGAATACCAAGATATTGAAGAAGCACATTATGCTTATAGGGTTAGAGATAGATTGAGGAAGGAAGTTCTAGTTCCTCTTCATAAGGTTTTGGAGCTACTGGAGGTGTATATGAGTGCTAAACAATGGGAGACACTTCCACCAACCGTGTTGCTTCAGTGGGGGATAAAGAATTATAAGGAAATCTTTTGTGCCATGAAAACAAGCGGTTTAAGGAGTATCATGAGAATGTGAAGCTTGGTAAGGCCACAATTGCAGCCGGAGCATTACTTCCCCATGAGATTATTGTGTCATTGAAGGATGGAGATGGTGGACAAGTTGCAGAGCTTCAATGGGCTAGATTGGTGGATGACCTGAAAAAGAAAGGGATATTGAGGAATTGCATTGCTGTATGTGATGTTTCTAGTAGCATGAATGGGATTCCAATGGAGGTTTGTGTTGCATTGGGATTGTTGATTTCAGAGCTAAGTGAGGACCCATGGAAGGGAAAGTGATTACATTCAGTGAAAATCCCGAGCTTCATGAAGTCACAGGGAATAGTCTTCTTGAGAAGACTAATTTTGTGAGAGAGATGGAATGGGGTGGGAATACAGACCTTCAGAAAGTGTTTGACAGGATTTTGAATGTGGCCGTTATTGGAATTTAAGTGAAGATAAGATGATAATCTTTGTTTTCAGTGACATGGAATTCGATCAAACCTTCAGGCTTGGTGGTTATTCATATTATGGGCTCTCATATTATGATGATGATTCAGATTCGGATTCAAGTTCAAATTCCTCATCTCCAACAAGTGATTCTAATATGGAGGACAAACCTTGTTGCGGTCCTAGGTATGGTTATATAGGAAGAAAGATGAAAAATAGGCCAAAAAGGTGGGAGACAGATTATGAAATGATACAGAGGAAGTTAAGGGAGAAAGGTTTCAATAAGTTTCATAAATTGTGTTCTGGAACCTAAGGTACTCCCCTAGTACTCCAGTTTCAGCTAAGCAAAGTGGGGTTGCAATGGTCAGTGGGTTCTCAAAGAATATGGTGAAGATTTTCTTGGAGGAAGGTGGAATTGTCAACTTAGAGGCTGTGATGGAGCAGGCCATCTCTGGTGAACTATACCTGAATCTAGTTGTAATTGACTGATTAATATTTCTCAAAAGGTCTCTTGCAATTTTCTTTTGATGAGTAGAGTGATCTGATCTCTCTTTTTTCTTTGATATGATAATGGCCATTAATTAGGGGGCGGGGCATTCGTTCTTCCCCTTCATCTTTGAGATACTGTTTTTCTCCTGGATCTTTTTATTTTAAACCTCAATATATCCTCACTATAAATTTATCTCCACGTATTTTTTCTGATTGGATTTGAAGGGCATTTACTCATACAAGTAACTTTTTACTATTACTCTGAAAACGGGTTGGTTTGATTCAAATAAATTAGAAACTAATGCCATGAGAGTTAGGTTGTGCTTATGTGAAAATTGGCCAGCCATAGTTCTCGGAGGAACCATTACCCCTGGATACAGATACTGTTGTATTGCAGTCAATCAATAGCTACTGGTACTTTTGAAGGTATTTGAAGGTATCATCCAACATCTGCATTGCACAAAATTTTCCAGCGGTAAGTCCCACTTTCAAAGAGAAGAGAGTTACCAAGTCGAGCTAACTGCCTAAACTATAAGCAAAATATCATAATTATAAGCTGAAGTGGGAATTATATTGACAGAGCTTGCACTTGATTTTCCATAGTTTTTGTGTCCTTAACTACCTCACTACTGCTTCAAACTGAGCTTGTAAACATGATCAACAATTGGTATTTGAATAGCCTTGGGGAACATAAAACAAAATAAAAAACTCTAAAGCAGAACTCAAAACATATATGCGTTAAACCCCTGATAATCAGTCATAAACAATATAAAACAGAGCAAACTTCAATAAGTTTATCTGACGGTCTCAAATAGATTCATTTAATAGCCACCAACATCTCTCTTAAAACTATTCACATTGTACCGTGTCTTCAAACATGTGTTACCCCTAATCAGTCATAAACTACAAGTTTATTATACTCTTCATCAACAATAGCAAGTTCCATTACTTCCTTTGGATTGATAACATTTTTGATTTTTCAATTCGATTTCAGTATACTTTCTCTCTCTTTCTCTCTCCCTCCTTTCAGCGCAACACTAGATCCCCTTTCAACGATCCATCACCCACGTCCAACGATTCTATTACCAAAGTACGGTGGTTTTACAACTTAATTACCAAAATGCATATATTTTGAACTTATTTACCAACCTACATCACTTTTTAAAAGTGGAATCAACAAATCTGATTTGCATATTTCACTAGGGCCCCATTTCTTTTTTTTCATAAGTTTCCCTCTCTCTTCTCTCTGGCATTCGAACGTAGAGGTCTTTCCCTCTCTTCTCTGTGCAGTGATTCCATCTCCCTCTCTTCTCCCAACAGGGCTCCTCTTCCTCTTATGTTTTCGTTTGCCTCCCCTACGCTTAGCTCTTAAAATGCACAAACCCTAAATGACCATAGCCTTAATGTTTTACGAAGAAGACAACTAAACTTCTGCAAGATTCGAAACGTGAGATTTGCCTTACTTGCTATTAAGCCCTAATTGCAGTAATGAGATTCTTAATAGGCCTAGCTTACTCAGTCTTTTGCCAAATCATGCAGTGGATTGGTGCACACCCGTGGGCTAAGTCTGAAGCAAGGAGAAGACATGGCTTCACATGTTGAACATAAGATAATTTATATAACTAGGTACGCTTCAATTGACTCTCTAATTCAGGAAATTACTAAGTTTAAAAAAATATCCCCATTACTCAATCCCCATTATTGTTGAATTCAGAAATCCCCCGGTGTAACTCAAAAATCCCCATACTGTTGGTTTTGTCGAACTGCATCAGAAATTTAGAAATTTAGAACTGCATACTTACTTCAATAATTTACTGTGTGAAGGTATTTTGAGGATTGAATTTTATTTAGACATTTAATTTGAACTGCATTCATGCAATATATACTGAATGCTAATTTTTGGATTAAGGTATGTTTTTTGTGCATTAGGAATATTGATATGTGCTTCTATTTCATATTACAGTTGAAATTCAGTCAATAACCATTGTGAAGGTGTTACAATGGTTATAATTTAAATTGTTGAATTTTGAAATGCCCCTTGCCCCTTACAATGTCAAGATAATAGTCTAAGTAATTTCTTTTGTTTGGTCTGAATTTGTTTTTATTGTGGATTTTGATAAAATTTTCCACATAGTTAAAATTTTGTTTTGAATTTATGTTTCTCATATGGCACACCCCAATTCTTTGCTTGAATTTTGGTTTGAAATTTTGCCACAAGTTATTTCTTTTGTTTTGGTCTAAAATTATATTTTTCATAGGACATACACCAATCCTTTACCTATCAATCCATAGATTAGAACAAAGCATGTACCAATGAGGTTTCCTCCTGAACGATCCGAATAGCATACAAAATGTTAAGCAGTATAAACTGTCAACTAGAACATAAAACAGAAATACATAATATGCGTAGAACCAAGCTTGCTAGGTTCACTCACCTTAGATTCCTATACAAACATAACCTGCCAAAGTATATAGGCATCAAACAACACCTTTGATGACTAATCAGCTAGTGCCTATAGAAAAGCATGCATCACTCTAGACATTGTCTTCACTTGTATCTAGTCACCTCCTACACAAACAAAAAGGAGCAGAAACATTACCATACAACACTTTATTTGCGAAGCTAACAGGAAAATTTAACCTGGTAGTTGTGCATCTCTCACACAATAGTGGAAAAAAATCACTTTAGTTAGGGCAATTTAGGTTGACCTTCCAGATACTTGTCACCAAAAGCATCATATCTTTTTCTTTACAAGGGAAACAAATAAGACATACAACCAAAACATTTCAAGGTTTACATGGATTACGGGTGGGGTAAAACAACAAGGGCTCCTCAATTCCCTTTTTTGCCATATTTTTTGACACAAGTCAATCAGGATAAAATCATAATTCTAATACAACTTCTATGAAAATCATAAAAGACACGCTATCAATGAACCATGATGCAATGCAATGGTTCAATCCGACAATAAGTACTCAAAATCTAGTTATTAGTGAATCTCAACAAGAAATCAATTTCTAAACAAATTCCTTGACACGTTTCCAGTTTGTATGCATTATTAGGGTCCTAAAATTGGTTTTGAATTGAAAAGAACAAAAATATTTTTACATTTTTTATCAACTAATATTAGACTCAACTTACTTTACTATCAGTTGTTTGCATCAATATATCTAAGACAGAGAAGCTTTATGGAATAAAGTATATGAAAAACATGAAACTACATTACCACTTTTCTTTGTATTTTAGACGTAATCACTATGGCACTAGACTTTTTTTTGAACTATTTGTTTGATTTTGAACAATGATTGAAGTATAAGATATGGTGTGATTTTTAATAATAGTAGGGCTGTTTTCTTTTTTCATATTGAAGTGGTCAGATGTCATACCACTAACAATATATAATTATTTTTATATATTCGAACATGTCACCTTAAATGCGGGATAGATTTTGGATCAAACGCGGGTAAATCTTATAATTATTATAGTGGTGTCAAAATTCTAATGTAAGACTTCCTGGTGTGGTACCTTGTTAAACTATCAAGTCTTCTAAAAACACCAAGCACGTGTAATCATCATGGTGACAACGAAATTAGATTGGAGGACATCAAGCTCTAATATAATATAGGGTTCTATTCCTGGCTTAATGTAATAGGCTTTCAATTGAGAGTTGTTAATTTTCTGGAGCGCTGCACTAGACGCCTGAGTAAGAGTAGTTGGATTGAAATTTTCGAGCGTGTTAAACATAGCAGCTCAGAGGTACTTATACTGTAGGAAATTTAGAAAAGTAAACATTTATGATTTCACTTTCTAAGTATGTTAATAGGTTTAAAAGTAAAATATGTCGTGCAATACAATCCTGTAATTAAAAGATGGAAATTATTTGATATTATATTTTATATTTAAGGTATAAAATGTTGAGGAGACGTACCACAGTAATGTGTTATTTGGGAGGTAATATTATATACAATGAAGGTTGTTTATCATACAATGAAAAGCCTCAGCATTGTCTAAAGTTGAAACACAGAACAACATATAACGAATTGTTGAGAAATATGTACACAATAATGTAGTTGGACAGTTCTACTTCTACATCACAATTACAGCTAATTTGTCAGTTTCCATCATTTTTAGGGGATCCCATGCAACAATACATAGAATTTGAAATTAAAAAAAATTATGGTGTTACGGTGATGTTGTAGATTCAGGCAGAGCACATCCAATAGTTTCCTCAGCCAATGGTGAATGAGTATGACCCATATATCCAATTGCTTACACAGGATAATATCAATCCCTATCTCAGTTCTTCTGTGCTTGTTAACTCTTACAATGTTGAAGGGTGTAATCAATATGCGCACGGATTTATGGGGGACGATGCTTTTGAAGCCGAGTTTAATTCGGGCCATGGAATGCCGAAGGTTGAGCCATATGTGTCAGAATTGCATATAGGGCCGAGTACGCAGATGTCGATGTTTTTGGGATACACCACATGTTCATCGAATGTTGGTATCCAATCTCAAACTGAAACAAGGACCGATGTCATTCAAAATTTGGTTCATTCAGACGATGATGTGTTTGTGAGGAATGGAATGCGTGCAGTTGATCATGCGGAAGACACATACGATAAGGATAAGGAGATTGCATTGCTGGACGATGTGGAAAACATTATTAATGACGATAACATAAATGACACATTAGTTATAGTGGAAGACATTGTCTGTATGTATAAGCCATCGTCCACCTTCTTCACTAATGCTGAACTTTCCCAAAGGTCTGCCGCCACCAATCAAACAAGAGCTCCATTATGGGATCCTGATCGGCCTGAGTTATCCATCAGCCTAATCTTCAAGGGTAAAACATAATTGCAAGATGTAGTGAAAATTTATTCAATCAACAATCATGTCTAATTCGAAGTTATTAAGAGTGAAAAAAAGTTATTGGCTTTGCAGTGTAAAAAATACCAGTTCGGGTGCAAGTGGAGGTTTCGTGCATGTCAAAATAAAACACATGGGATGTTTCAAATTACCAAATATAAAGGCCCACACACTTGTCTGAATGTGCCAGTGACCCAGGACCATGTGCAATTAGATTCTCAATTGGTTGCAAGCCAAATAAAAGACCTCGTGAGGGCCGATCCATCTCTGAAGGTTGATGTGATAATAAAACACATTTCCAATGTGTATAAGTACGAGATTTCATATAGAAAAGCATGGAAAGCAAAACAACGTGCGATATCTATGATTTTTGGTGACTGGGATGAATCATATTCAATTTTGCTGAAATTTCTGGGTGTACTACAAAAGTATAATCAAGGCACAATAGTCAGATGGTAGTTGGTCGACCTTGGAAATGGGAGGGTTGTCTTTGACAGAGTATTTTGGACATTTAAACCGTGTATTAACAGATTTTGACATTGTCGTCCACTTGTAAGCATTGATGTCACATTCATGTATGGGACAAGGGAGAGTTGTTAATTGTTATGGGTATCCTCTTGCCTTTACAATCGTCTATGAGGAAAGTATAGATACATAGGGTTGGTTTCTTTGGAGACTAAGACACGATGTTGTCGGTGACCGGCCGAGCATATGCCAGTTATCTGATCGCCATCAAGGTATAATTCAATTAGTGGCTGCTCAGGGTTTCGGTTGACAAACACCGTATGCATACCATCAATTTTCTTACGACATGTCCGCAATAGCCTGAACAGTAAGTTTCATAACTCTCATTTTAAATGTCTAGTATGGGATGCTAGTTCTGCACATCAAATCCGCAAGTATGACAAGATTATAACGGAGCGTGGATTGTAACTCATTTTTGCAGTTGATAAGAATGGTAAGAGAACAACACACACAATCAATTTATAGTGATATTCTGGTGGTAATTGTGGTAACTGTATAGCCAGCTGTGCCTAAATTTTTTTTAAATATGATGATTTGACTATTCGTGTAATACTTCTGATTTGTTTCAACATTGAAGGCAATAAATCACTATCAGTGTTAAGTTGTCGGTGGTAATTTAAAACAAGAATGTTTGTACAAAGTTGTCACTGTTATGTCATCACCGCTTATTTTAGCACAACACTTTATCAGTGTCTAGTTGCTATCGTTGTTCACTCGTCACTGTATCAGTGTCTAGTCACTATCATTGTTCACTTGCCGCTGTATCTTCACTGCAATATTTTAGTACTCAGTTCAATGAATATAACATTAAAATAAGTTACGTTTTTGTTTAAATATAGCTACATAAATTGTAGTGTAAACCATACATGCACTATAATATCAACAATATCACCAAATGGGTCTTTAAGTCGACCTAACGATGACTCATTTCCAACCAACCACTATCATCATGAAACATTTTATTCATTCAGTTCACCAAAACCCAGTAATTGCACAGATCCTACTGGAGTAACATGGTATGACAAATTACGTTCTTTTAAGAATGAGCCAATCAACATTTATAAACATTTCACCGAAGTCGGTCATATGATGATTGGACCTACAACCTTTGTTCCGCCTCTAGAGTTTTATTATAACCTATCAGGACCAAGTTGGTTGAAATTTTATTTCAAGCGCTGTGAGCTTGAAGAATATTGTCGTTGGCATGGATTACGAGTGCCATAGCCAAGTTCAACTGAAATATATGTGGAATTGTGTACAGATAACTACCATGATATCATTGCAACACTGAATCTTGAGAATGATTAGATGGAACGACGGTTAAATCGATTTCACTTTATTACAAAGGCAAAAATTGAACATTCAGACCCTATAGAGCATATTAATGCAATATTGTTCGATCAATCCTTGGCTTCTGACAATAAATTTTCTAATTGTGAAGAATTAAGTAATGATGATCACTGTGTAAAATTTTTTCATGCTATTCTTTGCTTACATGACACACTATTATGCTGTTGAAAATATGATCATCATTAGAAATATTTTGACTAATATGTCTGTATTATGTCGTTTAAAATAAAATCTTATAGTTCTATTTTAGCAAAAGACATAACGTCTCTTCATTTTGAATGTTTTTTTGTAATGTTTTTATTGCAAAAGAAATAAAATCTCTTTTCCCATGGTTTAGGGTTTTTTGGTTGGGTTTGGGGTGGACAATTGCTATTCTCTTTTGGGATAATAATAGTTTCAGCGGGTAGGGTTTTTTAATGTTTAGGATTTAAGGTTTTGTTTGTGTGGGGTGGGGAGGGCTATGATGTGTAGTATTTTTTGGAAATTAAAAAGGGTGAACTAAATAGTTTTATTATTTATTGTTTAATAGGGCTAGAAATAAAATTTTCATTTGTGGGACTACGTAGAAATAGTATCACTCAAGTTTTTATCTTTTTTATTGTTATCAGTGTAAAAGTTGGATAACTTTCCAATACCGTAATTTCATTTTCGATTACAGTAAAAATAATTTTTCAATATGTTCAAAAAGTATGATAGCCGCGCTGAGGGGGGGTGGAGTTATTAATTTTTTTATGTAATCATTTTGTGCTAGGAAGGGTATATATATAGGTAGCACTTTGAAAGCGGATGTGCTAAACACGCTTTCATTGGAAAGTGTTTTCAAGAATTCCGCTTTCTAATATAAACGTTTTTATTAAATCCGCTTTATAATAAAAACGGGTTTAATACATCCGCTTTCACTGGAACGATAAGCACAATTTTCCCTATAAAAGCGGGTTTTATAAATATGCTTTCAGAACAAAAATAGATTTTATAATTCCGTTTTACCAATTGAAGTCGTACTTCTTGATTCCGCTTTCATATGAAGTCGGACTTAATAATTCCGTTTTCACATGAAGATGGATTTGCTGATTTCGTTTTTAAAAAATGTTATAAATTGATAAATAAATTCAAAATAATTGCATTTTCGTAATTCAGTTGTAATACCACCGTACTTTGGTAATAGATTCCACGTCTAACCCCATCCACACAAACGCACACACCATAGCCAGAAAACCACCACTCTCCCCTAGCCATACCTGATAAAATTACAAGAACATTACCCTCTAGTTTTTAATATTTATGAAAAATTGGTCTTTGTTTAAGATTGAATTCACTTGAAAAATATTTGGGGTTTGAAAATTTGGGGATATTCCTAATTAATCAAATTTCTACGATTTCTTGCAAAAAAAAAAAGTGTTCTGACATTTTTTTTGTTTCTATTATTTTTAGTGATATAAATATTAATCTTCTATTAGGTTTAATTGTTTGTGTGATTTAAGGATAAAATGGGTGTTTCACAATAATAATGGCCGAGGTCTTACGCAACATTTTTACGCTTCAAAAATTGATCTAATTGTTAAACTAATAATATATCGACTATAGAAGACTGATATTGTCCTTAGAAAAAAATTGTGGTTAAATTAATTCTATTGCATATTGTCATATATTTTTAAATTCTTATGGCATTGCTAATTTTTTAAACCGTAAATTCTTATAGCATTGCTAATTTTTTAAACCGTAATACAACACAAAAGAGTATCTCGAAAAAAAAGAAAGAAAGAAAGTTAAGAGAGTAATTTCTTAAACACAGACCAAATTTTCATAAATATTAAAAATTAGAGGATGTTGTTGTAGTTTTACCGGGAGGAATGTCGGTTTTGTTTTACCGGGCTTGCTTGCTCCTGACGCCTAAAAAACTAGACTGTAATCCTATCTCATAGCACAGAAAGCGGGGATGAGACATTATAAACATAATAAGATAAGCCTTTAACTCTTGAAAATGCCACCCCGCCTTTTAGCTAAAGAATCTCTCGTTGAATTCACCGGCTATCGATCTTCTGCGACTGATTCTCTCTGTCTCTCTCGTTCTTTCCTCTACTTGGACTTCAAGCAAACCCATCTTTAAATACCTACCCCTCATCCCAATTCGACAACAATCCCTCAGAAACCCTAGCCAATAATTCCCAAACATGTCTGCTTCTGAGCTTATCGGTCCTCCAGAAATCCACCATCCCAGACCACCACCGCCACTGCCGGCGACGATGAAGACACAAACCCACCAATGGATTTCACCGAAAACAACTCTTTAACCTACCTAGCCGCTGGTAATCCTTGTTTAGATTTTTTCTTCCATATAGCCCCCAACACACCATCCGAAGATCTCACTGAACGCCTTCTACTCTCATGGAAGCACAACCAATTAACAACCCTGAAGCTTATATGCAATCTGAGAGGTGTTCGAAGTACCGGAAAGTCCGATAAGGAAAATTTCTACACTGCTGCACTTTGGCTTCACAAACACCATCCCAAAACCCTAGCCTGCAATCTTGACATTTTTGCCGATTTTGGGTATTTCAAGGATTTGCCTGAAATTCTTTTTCGAATTCTTGAAGGCCCTGATGTTCGGTCCATTGCGAAGAGTGAATGGGACAGTAAAAAGAAGGGTAAAGGAGGGAGTAGAGGTTTGTGTTTTTTTGGGAAGAAGAGAGTCCATGGAGCGAAATCTAGAAAGGGACATAAAAAAGAGGTAGAGAAGAAGAGGAGTTTGAGGGCTAGAATACCAAGAGACAAAAGGGTGGAGGCAAATATGGAGAAAGTGAAGGAGGAGAGAGAGAAAGCTAGAGATCTGAGGGAGAAAACAGAGGTTGCCCAGGCCAAAAAGGCCTTCGAAAGGTACACTCGAGACCCAGATTATAGATTCTTGCATGATCAGATTTCAAATCTTTTTGCCGAGCGTTTGAAATCTGACAATCAGTATCTGAATTCCGGTGAGACTAAAAAACTCAGGCTTGCGGCAAAATGGTGTCGAACGATTGATTCATCTTATGATAATTCCATTTTGATCTGCGAAAACATTGCTAGAAGATTGTTTTCCCGGGAGGACTATATCGAATACCAAGAAATTGAAGAGGAACATTATGCTTATAGGGTTAGAGATAGATTGAGGAAGGAAGTTCTAGTTCCTCTTCATAAGGTTTTGGAGCTACCGGAGGTGTATATGAGTGCTAAACAATGGGAGACAATTCCATACAACCGTGTTGCTTCAGTGGCGATGAAGAATTACAAGGAAATCTTTTTGCGCCATGACAACGAGCGGTTTAAGGAGTATCTTGAAAATGTGAAGTGTGGTGAGGCTACTATTGCAGCCGGAGCATTNACCGTGTTGCTTCAGTGGCGATGAAGAATTACAACGAAATCTTTTTGCGCCATGACAACGAGCGGTTTAAGGAGTATCTTGAAAATGTGAAGTGTGGTAAGGCTACTATTGCAGCCGGAGCATGCTTCCCCATGAGATTATTGCGTCCTTGAAGGATGGAGATGGTGGAAAAGTTGCAGAGCTTCAATGGGCAAGAATGTTGGACGACCTGAAAAAGAAAGGGACGTTGACAAATTGCATTGCTGTGTGTGATGTTTCAGGGAGCATGTCTGGAAAGCCAATGGAGGTTTGTGTAGCATTGGGGTTGTTGATTTCAGAGCTAAGTGAGGAACCATGAAAGGGAAAAGTGATTACATTCAGTAAAAATCCCCAGCTTCATGAAGTTACAGGGGATAGTCTTCTTGAGAAGGCTAATTTTGCGAGAAAGATGGAGTGTGGCATGAACACAGACTTTCAGAGGGTTTTTGATAAGATTTTGGAAGTTGCTGTTGATGGGAATTTGAGTGAAGATAAGATGATAAAGACAATCTTTGTCTTCAGTGACATGGAATTCGATGAAGCCTCCAGCCGTGGTGTTTATGATTCAGATTTGGATATGTGTTCAAATTTCTTGTCTCCAAAGAGTGATTCTGTTATGGAAGAGGAACAGACTTGGGCTCCTAGGCTTGGTTATACAGGAAGAAAGATGAAAAATAGGCCAAAAGGGTGGACGACAGATTATGAAGTGATAGAGACGAAGTTTAGGGTGAAAGGTTTCAATAAGGTTCCAGAAATTGTGTTTTGCAACCTAAGGTACTCCCCTAGTACTCCAGTTTTAGCTAAAAGGAGAGGGGTTGCAATGGTCAGTGGGTTCTCAAAGAATATGGTGAAAATTTTCTTGGAGGAAGGTGGGATTGTCAACCCAGAGGCTGTGATGGAGCAGGCCATCTCTGGTGAACTATACCAGAAACTGGTTGTTTTTGACTGATTAATTGCCTCCAGCAATTGAATGGCCAGTAATTGGCTCAACAATTAGTAGTTTTGATAATGATGATGATGATCATGGTTCTGTCCTTTACAATTCTGTTATTATTCTGTTACAGTTCATTGGTGGAGTAACTGAGTTCTGATTGCACAATCTTTATGAAAATCGGTGGTCAATTTCTGATTTCTGAATGCGATATTTAATCTGTTAGTGATCAGTGGTTCACTTTTGTTATGTGGTATGTGATGTGCTTGAGAGAGTTTTTTAATTCTGATTTAGCATTGTGTTTGAATATGAGTGTTGAGTGTTCCTGGTATTCTGATGTGGTATACCGGTTTGAACTTCCTCTTTCTTATGCTTATTAACTCACAAAGTAAGCAGTTTCTAGCAGGGACAGGCAATGCCGGTTGGCACTTCAACCATTGACATATCATCTAATTATTTAAAGAATCCTCAATACTTCAAAAGGATTATACTACAACAGCTAGGTCGTTTTCCTTTCTCAAAATGAGCTTAGTCGTCAAGTTTTTATCCGAGGGATAGGTATGAGCATAGTTTTGAAAATCGACCGTTCCTGCATGTAACGGCAGGCAGCGATCCCGTAACATCCCGATTTTGCGGCCAGAATATTTTTCACATTTGTAACGTCCGTTATGACTCTATAACGGCTCCATAACGACTCCGTATATTTATGCTCCCGATTCTATGAATAACCTTTTGTGGAAGATTCAAATGAGAAGCAAGTTGCTGAGAACGGATGTTGAGGCTAAAAATGGAGATCGTAGATTTTTATATAAGGTAATTCTTTTCTGAACCTAGTTTGTATCCAGTTTGATACACAATAAATAATCTATTATTTAATAAAATTGAGCATAAATATAATAAAAAAAATCTAGACTATCAGTAAAGGAGTGAAAAATAAAAAATATTACATTAAGGATGATAATACTTAAAGGGAATCATTAAAGTCAAATAAAAAAACTGTTTTTTGAAATGTGTGGGGGCCNCAGTAAAGGAGTGAAAAATAAAAAATATTACATTAAGGATGATAATACTTAAAGGGAATCATTAAAGTCAAATAAAAATTCTGTTTTTTGAAATGTGTGGGGGCCCTTGTTGCAAAGCTCCATCGGAGCTAAAAATTTTAAGAGTAATACTTTGAAGGCCTAAAAATTCGACATGTTGACTTAATAATTTAATTTTATTGTAACCGTTAATTTAACACTAGATCACATAGAGCATAAACGGGTGCGGGAGTGGGAGCGAGAGCGAGAGTCAGAGTGAAAGCGCGAGAGTATAAATTTTCAAAAAAAGTTAAGAGCGAAAACATTATTGAGATCATCAAATTTATATACGCGGCGTATTTATATACAATGTCAAAATATTAGAAATAAAAAATAAGATAATGTATAAAAAAATAAGGAAAAGAAACACTCGCAGCCGGCTACATATGGTAAAGTAAGGGTGTAACTTGGGCGGGCTAACCCGAGCCCAACTCGAAAAAATTAAAGCTTAAGCTAGGGTTTTAATACTTGAGTTGGGCTTGGGTCAAAAAAATTCAACCTGAATTCAATTTGGGCGGACCTCGGGTTGAACCCGACTCGATTTAATATTCAGGTTCAACCCGAATATTCAAAACCATATAAATACATTTTTAAGTCTGGGGTTAATCTGTTATGAAGTCTTCATTGTGCACCTCCCTCACTCATTATTTAAGCAATGAACTATATGTTTGTACAAGAATTCTGGTTGTATTTATTTGTGTTCTATATGGTTGTGGTTGCATTATCTCAAACATTGAGTTCTTAATATTATAGTTTTTACGTTAAAAACTTGATTGAAGTTGTTGGTTATTAATTTAGGTGAATATTATGTAATATATGTATCATGTTTAGAACAACAAGTCTATTTTTAGCATTACCTGAATTGAACTAGTAAAGTAACTCGAAATCATTAACCCGAATTCAACCCAAGCTTGCCCGAATTAAACTCAAGCAGTGCTTGGGTTGAGTCCTTCAATCCAAATTAGGGGTTAAGGTTAGGATTGAAGATTATATACCTAGGGTTGGGCTAGAATTGACTGTCCAACCCGTCCGAGTTGCACCCCTATGGTAAAGTAGAACTGAAAGGCAAGTAATAAATAGTGGTACCAACATTAATCCTAGAGGTTTGGGAATTTGAGTCCTAGAGTCTTTATTAAGGCTCGGTGGTTGGTCGCTATGTTAGCCTGGTTAGGTCTGGTCCCAAGAGGTGTTCCAGACACGGTCAACGACTTTATGATCTCACCAATGAGGGCCTAATGGGGTGGTCGCTGGGAGCTCTTCTTTGCCTCTCTCCTTTTTTTCATAAGCAAAAAAGAAAAGAAAAAAAAAAGGTAATTTGGAAGCCGATAACAAAATTTAGACTTATTTGAGCTAAACTACATTAAAGAAACTTATTTGTTCCTAAATGTATTTTTTTTTAAAAAGACTAAAAGGTCATTTATTACTTCATTACTCTCTCTCTCTCTCTCTCCTTCTCTCTCCATTACTCTCTCACTCTCTTTTCCTTATTTTCTCTCTCTTTTTCTTTCACATTGATAATTTATTTTTTTTAAAATATGTAAAGATTTGATTTAATTTTTTCATCTCTTTACCTTTTTTTTTCTTTCTCTCTCACTCACACTCTCTCCCCTTATTTCCTTATTCTCTCTCTCCTGATATCAACCTTACAACAATATAATTACACAAATTAGTTACACCAATTAGTTATAATCACCATATAATATACCAAACAATTACTCATGTATTTTAATAAACTAAATAGTTACACTAAACAATTACACGAAATTATAACACCAACCTAATTTGTCATTCAATTATTTACATAAATCAAAAGTTACATTATTTAGCATCACGACATGGTTACACCAATTATATACACCAAATTGAGTTTATCATTACACAAAAGACTTTACCATTATACTAAATTTGATATATACAATTGGTGTAACGATATTGTAATACTAAATGATGCAACTATTTAGTTTTATGTAAACAACTGAATAACAAACTGAGTTGGTGCCATAATTTTGTGTAATTGTTTGGTGTAACTGTTTGGTTCATTAGAATGTATGAGTAACTATTTGGTGTATTATATGACAATTATAACTGATTAGTATACTTATGTTGTTGTAATTTTGATATAAAGAGAGAGATAGACAAAAATAGGGAGAGAGAGAAATGGTGACAGAAAATAGGAAGAGAAATGAAAAAATAAATCAAATATGTACATATTTGAAAAGAAAATAAATTATTAATAGTAGATAGAGATAGAAAATAGGGGAGAGATAGAAAATTTATGGAGAGAAAGAGAGAGATGGAGCAAAAATAGGGCGAGATAGTGAGAGAGTAATGGAGAGAGGGAGAGCGAGAAAGATTGAGAGAAAATAGGGAGACAGAGAGATGGAAAGGATAAAATTTATGCATAATTTAAGAAATGGTAAGTAAGTAAAAATTTCAAATGTTATTTGAATTTTGTACCTAATTACAATAAGTTTTATTAAAATTGAACTTAATAGAGTAAAATATTTATTCATACACTTTCTCTCAAATACGTCTAAAAAAATGGACTCATATCCTAAAAAACCAAAAAAAATATAGCAAATGCTTTCTTTCCCTTTTGTTAAGAAATGGGGCCTAATTTTGGGGCCCAATATATTGGAAGTACACTTTTTTTTACTTGGGTTGTGGTTCACCTTCATAATAAGTTCAATTGTTTTAGAAATTATGGATTGTGGATTAAATCTTGAGAATGTTTGACCTGCGGATTGAGATAATTGGATTCACAAATTTGATTTTTTGAATCCACAAATTAGTGTCAAATTTGTTCTCGAATCGCAAATTTGTGTCAAATTTGTTCTCGATTCGCAAATATGCGATTCGAGTGCAAATTCATAGACTTAAAGGGATGAATCATGTGATCTAAGTATAACACTAAGTTTTGATGTGTCATGAGACCTATAATCAATCAAAAGATTATAATGAATTATATCAATAAATAATATCCTTATAATATTTCCCAAAGTTTTAATCCTTGAGACTTTTGAGGTCAGTGTCACGCCGAGACCCAACATGGGTCTCTCCGTGGACTCAATACCACCACAAATCTTTAATCGAACCTGATACAATTTGCTTATGGTTAGATGAAAGGTAGGCTATTTTCACCCCACAAATCTCTATTCTCACCCTATTTAATTTTTCATTCTCAAACTATTAAGTCTAACCCTTCTATACTTACCTCATTACTAACTAAGTTTACCACATGCTATATACACCCATTTTAATAAGTAAATCATTTTATATTATGTCATAATTAGTATTTTATTCTCTATCTCATCTCATGCACTTATAAAAATACTTTTTCAATATGAATCCACCTCAATTTTAATTTTATATTTGATTTCATGTTTGTTATATGATTTTTTATTTTTTTGGGTATATTTTGATATCTCTGTTAAATTTAATAATTTTTTCTGTAGAATTTATATGTGTGTATATATATGTATGCTTTCATATTATTATTTTTTTCTTTTTTATCTTGTTTAGATTTTGCATCTATGCTACTTTTTTTTTCTTGTTCAATTTTGTGTTTATGCTTGATACTTTTAATTTTTTTTCATGTTCGATTTTGCATCTTGTAGTTTTGTTTGATTCTTTAATTTTTTCTTAATTTTTTTTCCTATTATTGTTTCTGTTTGCTTCTTTTTTTGATTTTTCCTTATTTCGTTCTTTTCTTTCTTCTTGTTTCGGTCTACTTTTTTTTTTTTGCATGCATGCCTGTTTTTTTTTTTTACTTATTTCATTTTTTGTTGTTTTTTTTCTTATTTCAGTATTGTTTGTTTTTTTTTTCTTGTTTCGTAAATATGTTTATGCATTCAAAATAATTGTCTTTTTTTCTTATGATGACTTCTTTTATTAAAAGAGTGTACATAAAATGAGTGAGTTTAACTATTAATGGGATGT